ATTGCATAATGTACAAAAACCGTCGCGACGGCGTATTAACTTTCTCACGAGGGAAAAATAAACAGAAGACAAAACACCCGTATCGCTTTACTGTGCCGCGAGTATACAGGGCTCGGGCAGGTAGGTGTAGGTATAATACAATAATTCGCATTATGTGGATAGGAATACGAATATTATATTATTCATTTCGTATTCCGAAGGACTATTAATAATAAAAAAAAAAAAAAAACCCATATATATATATGAAACTCGATACCGTGTACTATATTTTTCAACATCAAAACTATAATAATAAAACATTATTCAAATGCGCGGCGTTCTCGCGACCCAAGAGGGTTGTTTATTGAGTACGATTGTATATATATATAGCCGTATACCTACTGCACAACAATATTACTATGTCTATACTTTTTATTTACCGAACAGCCGTTACAGACATTTTATTTAAAACGCGAACACTCGGTAAAAAAATATCGAATATTATAACAATATATGGGTAGGTTACATTATAATATAAAATGCATAGGTATTCGAACTATCGATCTGTCTTAAGGACCGAAGGATTTTTTTTTTTTTTGTATATCAATACGTCTGAAGGAGTATTGACGAACTTCCTTTTTACGCGCACACGTATACACCGCACGGATGATACTCCGGGAGCAACGATGCGTGTGCACAAATTATTCGACAAAATATCATACCGCAGACAATATATTACATTGTTATGCATTATATTCGGTGTGGGGGGAGTCATTGGCCGTTATATTATCATCGAGCATTTACGAAAAAAAAAAATTTACGAAACGAGACGATATATTTTTTTATTTTTTTTTTTCGCGTATACGGTTCGGTATAGGACGTATAGGTATTAGGTATAGAGCCGTATAGGTACTTCTTGTTAGTTGCCGGAAAGAAAAAGTATTATTCTTTTTCTTATTATTATTATTTTTTTCAAGAGTAGCTGGTAGGTAGGTAGGTATGTACACGACGCTGGTATTTTTATTATTATAATAATAATAATGATAATATGAAAATTCGTGATATATATATATGTGTGTGTGTGCACACGTGTATGTGAGTACGTTGCACACACGCACGCACGTGAAAGAGAGTATATGTGTGTGCTATTCAAATAAGGTGATGTATTAAGCGCGGAGAGGATTTCAGTCAGGGATTCGAACAAATATAAAAAAAAATAAAAAAAGGAGAGAAAAATACATATAAAAAAATATATATGTATGTATATACGCGTATATTTCCAAACCGTATTACTACCGTACGTATATATGCGAATTGTGTGTCGGGGAGAGGAGGGAAGAGAGGAGGTGGGGGGCGGCGTTTGGAAGACGCTGCTCGAGCGTGTGTACATTATACATTTTATATTTGACTCGAGTGGTTGTGTGTACACTTTTTGCATACGTCATACATACGCGTTTCTTGCAAATGGAACGGGATGTATATAATATAATATATATATATATATATATATATATATATAAGAATATATCTGATAAAGCGCAAGGAGACGACGACGACGACAGTGGCGGGGAAAAAGAATTTCAGTGAAATTCAAAAATCAAATCCGAGACGCCGAGATAATTTGATAAAAAAAAAAAAGGTGAAGCAAAAAACCCCTGGAAAGCAAATCGAATGTCGACTGCACGTGCACGTACAGTCACGTGTATTATGTATGTATACATGTACATGTATTCTTGCACGTACACATGTGTACGTGTATGTGACTGTCCAAAGAGCGAGAAGAAAGTCCGCGCGGAGAGGAGGCGAATAAAGAAATAGGTTGGGGGATGTTATAGGTGGTTTTTACTTATAGCAAAGTTCAATCTCTCCTTCGTCAGCTTTATCGATTCGTTATTTACTAGAAAATAAAATACATTGTGCACGTATATTATAAGAAATATTGTATTAGTCGCTGTTTTATATTATTATTTAAATTTTCAGTATAGATACTATTGTCCCGCAGCTCGTCATTTCGACTTATGATTAAAACGTACTAATCACAATACAGATTAACATCTCGCGACACGACGACGTCAATGCCACAGGTGGTTTTTGCTTATACTTTGTCGTAATTAAATTATCGACTCCGTCCGGAAACCTCGTGACCTCTTTTTATAATAAACTTCATACATCCTCCCCGGAAGCCTCGTAATTGCATGCAAATGAATGAATTCCGTACAAGCTGTTTTACCATCGTCACCACGCCGTCGCTGATGTTTCACACTGTCTATTGTGTGTATGTATGGGTACGCCTCGAGAATAATTTATTGTTCTCATAATATACGGGTTTCTTACGATGACAATGGTACAGTATGATGGGGACGACACGACATACCATATATGTATATATGTATATATATTGAAAACCCATTTCGTTTCCATACACGTAGTCACATGACTGTAAGTTGTAGTCTGCGATAATCGTAAAATAAACGCGATAGTAGAGGTAAATTTTTTTATCTAATAAACTAATATCACGATGTATTTTTATTCGCAGATCACCGTGAAATTACTGCGTCAACAATTCACCTAGGTATATAGTATATACTAATAGTATATATTAATGTGGGACATTAAGGTCGGGACAGATTTTGACGATAAATTGGTTGTTTGTATTTTAGTCGATCGCCATAATATTATGTCCATCACGCGGATATACAAATTAATAGCGGAGAGAAAGAGGAGGGGAGAGAGAGTAACCAATGTTGTTTGATTGCATACCTACTATTTAAAATTCGCCTTTAAAATATTGTCGGAGGACATTTTGACAATTGGTTCTGCATGATGTAAACGATGCATTTCTGATAAAAAAAAAATAATGCGTGTATACATTTTTAAAGATACTGCAGACTATTTCTTTCTAATAACGTATAGGTACTAACCACTATAGGTGGCCTGAGCAAGGGTACGTGGATCGGAACAGACTATACCTATTTATAATAAATAGTCTATATAGTATATTATCCATCAATGACGGCTCTTGTTTAAAGGTCGAAATACTACGTTACCGCCGCGGTCGAAATAGGATTATTATTAATAGGATTCGACCAGGATACAATAAATATATAAAGGAGAGAGGCAGACAGAGAAAGAGAGAAAGAGAGAGAGACGGTGTCAAATTTCGAGTACCTATACCTACTACAGTACATAGAATGACATCACCAGACATTAGAAAAACACTTCTGATAAAAAAATGACTATCGTTATTCATTAATCACGGACATACATAAAATAACGATAATGATATTTTTTTTTTTTTAAAACGCTAGCTTTATATAATCGGGCAAAACATTGGACAGTATTATTATTTTTATTATTTTTTTTTTCAAAGGGCGCGGTTTGTCTTTACTGTCATATCGTATATATTATACAGACTACTCGTATCTATAGGATGTGCGGCGGATGTCAAGGCTAGCGGTGGAACAATACGAATGACGGGGGCTTGTTTTTTTTTTCCTTTTAGTTATTTTTAATCGCTACTGAACCATGATAACCCTCTCAGCAGGACCTCTTTAGCATCTGTATACGCGTACCTATGTATATAATAATAGCTCGAGCACGACATGTTTACCCGCAACAAAAAAAATAATAATATACGTCTAGCAATCAATATACGTATATACAATAATGGAATAACTCTATGTTATGTATAATTAATAATAATAATGATTACGACGGGTTTTCGAACGAGTATACCTATAATCGCTATATGCCATAATCGTTATAAATCTTATTATCAAAATTATATATATATATATCTACCTACATCCGTCGAAAACCGTGATAATGCTATAAAATGTTTACTGAAATATGTATAATATTCGTATTTAAAAAAAAATGACCGAAAACCAAAAATACTTTAATGACCTAAAGCGGCTAAAACCTATCTAAAATGACGACAACAATTTTACAAAACAATAAAATAATTTATTAATCATATTTATTTGAAAACACTTTTATATTGTTCAAAGATAAAAAAAAGATATGTATTTAACAATTACGCGTAAATGCATCATCGTTATTATTACCACACTTATAATACCAAATATCGTGCATGTATTTCACGATGACGATTCGCCCGGCAGCGGATTTATAATACGATAAGTAGGGCTCGCATATTTTAGCATTCGCATATTATTATTTTCAGCGACACCCAGAACATTCCGAGTGAAAAATACAAATTTGTTTCATATTTCACTGGTGTCGTGTAAGAAATTGTTAGTCGCTGTTTAACTTCGAAAAACGTACCGAAGCGCTAAAAATTTAGCTTTTTTTTCTTCTTTATAGTGTTATTACTTCCGAGCTCCGACGATAAGTTTATATATAGTTATCGTAGCATGATGTATTATGATGACGTTCGATTTGTCTGTGCCGATGATGCCCGCGCCGAGCTAATTCCACCAACATAGGTACGCTCGCGCGCGTGTGGAGTGTTTAATGAAAGGGATCCGCGGGGATTATAATAACGAGCCGGGTGTGTATTATTATACGGATAAAAATGGTAATTTAAGAACGGGCCGTATACGGGTAGACAATAATATCCGTGTATAGGTTAGGTAGCCTACCTACTATATACACGTGAAAAAATGCTAATTTATAAAACGAAACGTTTTTTTTTTTTCTCTACTATTACCCACTTACCTCTCTCGTCGGTGTCGGCGTGTGTGTGTGTCGTCGGTTGACGGTGCACGGGGTACAGCTGAACCAACGTGTGTTGCAGCAGTAACCCTTTCACTCTTCTCGTTCGTTTTTTTTCTCCTCCTCTCTCCTCCTGTGTATACAATATACATACATTAAAAAAATATTACAATAGTTCATAATATTATATTATAACCCTTTCCTCCACACACACGCACACACACACACACACACACACACACACACACACACACACACACACACATATTACCGCGTTATAGGTTCAGGTCTTCGGAAGATAACACTGTACCGTGCAGACACACACAAACCCGCTGCTCTGCAACTCGGCGCAACCGGCTCATTTGGTCGCGATCGTTGTCGTAGTCGATACACGCCTGCACTCCGTCCCCGTATTAGTTTTTTTTTTTTGTCTTTTTCGGACAGTTAACATTACTACATACGAAACTGAAATCACAAATCGTCGTCACGCTATCGAGTCAACTGTATAATCAAAGCGGCTATCGAATCGATAAATCGAGGAATACCGCAACGCGACGTTATCTCGTATGTACACTTATGAGCAACTAGAGCAGGTGAGTGATCCGAACTTATTATAACAGCAACAACGTCCGATACGATTGTTTTCATTTTTACAATCGTTTTGGATGCATACACACGCATTTGCTGTCTCCGCATTCTTACAAGCGCACGACATTCGCATTGAGCAGAACCGATTTTGTGCTTTTAGTTTTTAATTTCGGAGTGAAATATTATTGAACTGCGTTTGTACGTTGGTTTTTCCGACATTTTAATATTTTAACCGAAAGACAAGTATTCTTGTGGCATTACACACAAACACACACACACACTCATATATCGGTTAGAAATTAAAACGACGCGCAAACGCTGTAGATAATGGTCTTCCCTTAAATATTGGTATAATAGGTTAATTCAAAATAATATTAAATCTTAAAACTTGAAATCGGTTCTGCTAAAGTTCAATTTGGCTATGTCGCACGCTTGCATTTTAAGGGATGAATTATGCAATTACTAAAACAGCTGCTTCTAAGTACTAAACCGGTCTTAAATTCGGTACATTTTATTTGTACACTTTATTCGATAGAACGATATGACGTATATGAAAGTTTATGTATTCTATAAGTATAATTTTACCGTTGTCGTTGTGTTATCATTACTATTTTAATCCGAATTAAATAATTTTTATCGCGCGCAACGACGAGCTTATACTATACATTTTAATAAAAAACCGAAAACACATAATATAGGTCTACGAGTAAAATTACAAATACATATGCTTTAGCACTTGTAGTGCGACTCAAATGATATGTTCTAGTTGTACGTTTCATATGTTATACACAGTTAATAAAAACATATAGGACAGGCCGAATTTCAGCTCGTTGCAATTATGATGTAGCCAGTGTACACTATACATATTGTGTTGTATGTTATTATTAGTATTTTGATCGTAAATATAATGTTCTTTCACGGTAACGTTTTACGAGATGAAAAAAATAAATGCAAACGGTGCGTAGAAAAAAAAATTAAGAAAATACTGTTTATTTTCGTGCGATATCCACAAAAAACCGGTTTTATTCATAAATAGCGGTGTGTGATAGTTAAATTTTAACTATCGGTTGCAAAATATTATGAAAACAAATTTTTTAAAACATTTTCATCGATAATATTATCGAAACTATGGAAGTTCAGTCGAAAAAATATTCAAGTTAAAATACCATGGTTTTTACGATTTTTGTAAAAATTTTAACATAAAACGCTTATAAAAAAACTATACTACATTACGTTAAATTTTCAGGCATTTCTGTTCGGCTAAAACAAAATGATCCGTATAAATCCGAATAAGAACTAAAAAAAAAAAACAAACTCAAAAATGCTAAAGGGCTATTAACAGCTAAAAATAGATCAGAACATTGAGAACCACGTCTAGAAAAACCTAGCAAAAGTATTTTGAGGAAAAATCAGATTTTAGTCGAATTAAACAATATTTCCGTAGCCAATATAAAACTTCAACTTAAACTTTCATTTAAACTTTTTAGATTATTTTTTTTATTAATTTCAAAACAAATTTAGCATAAATGTTAATAAATCGTACGACGAATAAAAAATAATTTCCGGAAAATATATATGCCTATATTGCCTATACATACAATTTTTTTTTTTTATTCATTTTTACATCTGGTCTCTTTTTTTTGTATTAAGTAAAGGTACAATAAATTAAATATTCCAATGTTTTACCTTGACGTTTATTTTAAAGATCACATAGAACGGTAAAACGTTTTCAAAATCCGCGAGAATATAAATATAGGTACTCTACTATATTTTATTATCATTAATTTTTGCTATACTGTTCAATTTTCATAATTCGTTTTAAAATCCGCGTATAAATTAATTATCGTTGCCTTGTAGTGTACATATTGTAAAGCCAAACAAACCGCAAAACGTGCAAATAATAACGAACAGGAATGAAAAATTGAAAATATTACATTTTTTTTTTTCCCGTAAACAAATAATGTTTGAACTATACACAGTGTGTTGTAGTTATTCGATTTGTGCATACGCTCGTTTATGGTGATTTGGATATTATTATTTGTGCGCACATCATAAGTTTATTACTTTATACCTATAGATGTATATTTTTTTTTTCGTAATAAATAAATATTTGTCGAACTTATTATTTGATTTTCACCGGTGGCGCAGCGGCGGCAGCGACAGAACTTTGCCGGTTTTATGTAAAGTTTTTCATTCGGCGGAAAATCGGAGATAAAATATAATATACAGTGCAGTGTGATTTGATTTGGCAAAATGTACACGAATTCGACGAATCGTAATAAATTCTTATATAACGAATCGCCTTGTAAATTTTTTTCAAAAATAAATTTCGGTAGGTATATTATGTAGATGGGTCGTACGAGTATATATGATGCAGGGTTAGGACGATTTGCGTAAAAAAACTTCGTTTTTTTTTTTCAGTGTTAAAATATCAAATTACCTTTATCACGCGCAGTATTATTCGTACATATTGTAACTTTTAAAGCTTAAAGCGTTTTTTCTTTAATGTACGTATATACCGAACTGCAACACCTATAAGTGGCGTGTGCTGAAAAGGGGGCATGCCAGGGGTTAAGATTGGGAAATACCAAAGACTTTAAAATAGAACAACTATAAGCGTTTATTTAGTAGTTTTATTGAAATAATATAAATTTTAGCTAAAATACAAGGGGAGAAAAAAGTTCGATTTATATTAAGAATAAAAATTGGCTTTTGGATACGGCTATTCAATTCTCATTGTCGTACATCAGAAGAAGATTATAAAATACGTTTTATTCACGAATCTTGATTATTATTTATAATGCATCCCCTCCCGTTGAAAATTCCTGGGTAAGCCACTGATTCCCGTTTACATATATACATATATAAGGGTGTGATGTTTAGAACAATATATGTTTTCATCGACTCGGCGGATTATTCGGTAAACATAGAAACCTATATTACCTACTGGTTTTTTTTATTCTTTTTTTTGTTCATATAAACGTGCAGTACGTTATTTCGTATATCTAATTTGGCGTTATATTAACGGGAGGGGCCGCGATTATATTAGTATATATATACACTCGTGACACGAACTCGGGAAAAAGTAATTTCCTGTTTGTTTTTGGCGAGGAGTTATTGGGAGTCGGGAATTACCGGACTTATCGTATATTATACGACGTCCGTGTCACACCCGCCGCCGCCGCACCGCGAAAACAAGACGAAATCCTTTGCATCATCGGGATAATCTTATTCCGAAATCGTCGCGGGTCTTTATTACAAATTGTAAAATATTACACGGATAGAAATTCCCGCCTGCAGTTCGTAGACAAACGCACGCGCGAAGAGAACAAACGAGAAATGCCCCTCGCACAAAATGGCTGCCCACCCCCGAAATAATAATAATAAAAAAAAAAAAAATAAAAATAGAACGCCGGGGGTGGCGGCGGACTGTCATGGTATACAGTCCAAATGTTTGCGACTACCGCACCCCCGGTATATACGCACCGTATACATACCGGAAATAATATCAGTTTTTCTTCATATTGATTATTCTGCCAACTTGCTCGGAATAGTCAGCGGCAGAGGAGGGAGTTACGAGGACGACGACTACGACGACGACGTTGAGGGAAAAAGTATATACGTGTGTGCATATCCCTCGACCCTTTTTTCCACATATTCCCTTCTTTTTTTTTTCTTTTTTTTTTTTAGACGTATGTGCACGAATAAATATTGAGAGTATTTTCCGACAGGCAAAACGCTTCTTTCGTTTTCCACCCCTTCTTTTCGAACGTGTCCCCACGGACTGACGTTCAATAAATGTAAAAGGGGAAAAAAACTCGGCAGGTATAGCAGGATATAATATAATATTATATATGATGCAATATAGAAAAATATAATATTTTTGTACGATGTGGAATGGTTTTTTTTTAACTAAAAAAAAATTACTACCTACCTATATCTACTAAAAGTAATACCAATAAAAATGTAAAATGAAAATATTTGTATTATTTTCATACGTTTCTGTGGCATATCGTTTTACTAAAATTTATTTGCCTCGAACGACGCGTCAGAAATAACTGAATCCATGTTTAATATAATATATATTATTTAAATTATTTGATAAAATACACATATTGTGTAATAATCTAGTACTTAATCATAATTGTATATGTAGTTATAATTTACAGTTTGAAATAAAAAAAAATTACATTATACCACACGATATAGGTATTAGAGTTGAAAAATATTGAAGTAATTTTGTCATAAATGTATATATTTTGTATTAGTCAAATTACTCGGTATTTTCCGGACTCACCATTATCCCTATCACAACTAATTATTATTGCCCTTTAGTTTGTCATAACTAAAAATGTACTTATTTATCGTCTTTGACAACCAAATAATTGAAATTTTTGTTTTATATTACATCCATGATGTCACCAAGAAATGTAATCCAGAAGTCAACTGACAATAATTTCGGATTTTTTCGTATTCGAATATCCAAAACTAAACGTGTGCTACCATTTTTTAGGTTAAGATTCGAAGTAAAAAATTGACGGCTTTTTTCCCCTCATTTTGAACGCCAAGCGTGAAATTTATGTTCCATCGAGATTAGAATCGACCCTAGATTTGTATAGCTGACAGACAGACTTTAAATTATGTACAATCATAAGATTATCTGTACTTGAAAACGTCTAAATTATTGCAATATGTATTCGAGTAATACGCAACGATCAGAAAAAATATAAATTCGTATACAAAAGTGTATGTACCTAAATACGAATCTCGAGATAACAAAAAAATACTTATCGTTTTCTAAATGTCGACTAAGCGGTTGACACTTACGCTAACAACAATATGTATTATACGTGATATATATCAATGTAAACTAAACAAAATTAATGGTTATTAGTATACCGTCCTATAAAATAAGTTATGTAACGAAAACAAAGTGCCTGAACTGATGTACTTGCACTTAGGTCGACAATAATAAAACCATTAAAATGCATTCACCACGAGCAGTTTGTTAAGAGAAAATCGTCGTCCGATGACGAGAAATGAACAGATAACCTCATAAGTTTTATTTCATTATAAATAAGTTATAGAATATTATATAATAAAGTATAAATTATAATTCATGTAAATGATCGAAATCACAATGTTAAATAAGTTATTTTTGTTTTTGTAATTCTTATTGGTTATTGCTTTATCCCGTAATGTTAAGTTTTTGAATTTTTGATTTTTCGTTAATTTTTTTTGAATATTTTTTTTTATATACGGCGTTTTCGGAATGAATATATAAGGAGAACTTTATGTTAAACATGTTTTCCGTATCTAATTTTACAATCCAATTCTATTTTACAAAAGGTATTCGTATAATTTATATTGCCATTCACAAAGTATACAACCAGTCGGTGGATGTGATCGGAGTAAGATACTGGAAAACCCAACGTTTGTGTACCCCGGGAGACCCTGCAAAAGAGTTGCATCGAATAATAAAAAGTATAGAGGTCACGCGATTAAAAGGAAGAAAACTGCTGCAGCGCTTATATTGGAAAAATTTCAAACGATCCAAGAGTTGTAACTTTTGAATTGCTGAAAAAGAAAAGCCAATTGATAGATTAAAATCGGATTTATACGAATTATAATCATGGCAAACACGCGATACTATACACGACGGACTTAGACATAATTATTAACGCAGAAAATTGTATATTTTACTTTAAACGAGTGATGTTAAGAAAGCTCATTCTGCGAGTTAGCAAAGTTGCCGGATTCTGAGTATATTTTAAACGATAAACTATGATTCCATATACAATTTTGAAATAATTCGTTAACCTATAGTATGCCTATGTGTAGAAACCAGTACAAGTTAAATATTTTAATTTGTAAATAGTTGACAGTATAGCGTTTTTAAAATTTTGTAAATATTTATACTATGGTACGTATACCGGTATGGAACTTTTTAATATCAGTTAGATTGAATTCACGTCTTAAATATCGTACGAAATTTTCAAACATGCCTATGATCCGAACAAGTTAAAAAAAAAATCCACGAAAACAATTAAAAAAACAATCCTAAGAAATAAATCGTGAATAAATTATTTTATTTCATATGAATGACCTAACAGTAACTTGTCTAAAATATGATGAAAACGCAAATATAATTTCATAGATTGTATAAAAAATGTATTTAAGAATCAATTATTATCATAAAAAAAACGACCGTATACGACATACGAATTTCTATAAATACGCAAAATTGTTTCTAAGGATTAAGAAGACGTGATGTGTGGACTCTTTTTACAAACGACGTACGGCATACCAAATTTGCAATCAGCCGAGACAATTATATGCCGTTAGTTGTTGTTTTTCGATATTTTAATTATTATACGAAGTTTGGATATGTGAATTATCAGGGTTTAAAAATGTCTTTTATCTCGTTTTTTATTCTTATCCTCCGCCTCCGTCCTGACTATCCGACTAGAATCGGGCATCCTCGTCCTAAACTCCCATTCGATCCGGTCTCCCATCTCGCGTACAACGGCTATCCTCATTCTCTGCAATCACATGCCCAAACCATCTCGATCTATTTTCTTTCATTTTGTCTATATCTTGTTGGAAAATTAAAATATCGTAAGAAAAACCTCATCGATAGTTGTACAGATAATGTTCTTGTCTTTGAGTTTGATGATTACGGGCGCGATTAATTCACTATAAACTATAAACAATTAACTATAACCGCACGTGCGGTTATCGCGTCCTTTTAACGAGTAACGATTATTGTATAAAAGCAAAAATAAAAACGAACGCATCAGTTTCCCGTTCTGTTCTAATTTGTTAAAATATATAATGTGTACGCGGAAAGGTATAGAAGAAAAATTATCGACAAACGATTGCGTTACCTGTGCGGGAAAACGCGGTTTACAAAACGGCAATCCTGCGACGCGCGGAGGAGACACGAGCGTTTGTTATCGACCGGCACTTTTACGCGAATGACTAAGAAAAAACGATTTTCATTGCGACGTCTGCTGCAGCGGGGTGGCGTTAATGACGGCAGCGGCGGCGACGGCAATGAAGCGAAAGTGGGTCGGTGGGGCAACGTACTCGCGATGCAGCCGATGTATAGTATTAAAGAAACGCATTAAAAAAAAAAAAAAAAATAATAATAATAATAAAAATCCCCTGATGAGACGCGCGGACGGTGAGAAGGGAACGCTCTGCCCCCGCGCACCTCGTAATAATATGGCGACGGCGGCGGTGTCGGCGGCGGCGTCGGCGGCGGCGGTGGTGCGCGTCGTCATCGTCGTCGCCGACGTAGGGTGGTTAATGAAACTACGCCCCCGTCGTCGGCCGCGTCTCGTCCATTGGGCGCGCAAATTACCCCCTCGCGCGTTCGTCCGCCGCACCACCCTGCGGCGCGGCACGGCCGCCCTAATACGCTTCGCGTAATATGCGCGGCGGGCGGAGGGACAATATAATACGTGCGTATATAACATACATATATATAACTCGTGCGGGGAGCGTAACGCGGGAGCCTTTGAACGTAATATTATAATATTGTAGTAACCTTGACACTGAGAACGAACAGCCGCCGTTGCCGCCGCCGCCCGATTAATGACGACCGTCCCCGTCCCATCCCTCGCGCACCGCGTGCAGCTAACTCTCCGCGACGACGTAACTCATTAGCATATTATACCGCCGCCGCGTACATAATCGATCGGTCGCCGCCGCCGCCGGAGCGCACAAACAACAGATGATTGTTATTAGCGCCGGCGACGTACGTAGTAGTTAGCAGGCGGTCTCGACGCGATTTTCGCGCGCGTCCCTCTGCCGCCAACAGCTGTTTTCCGTAATAAAGTTTTTTCAACCGTCGACCGCGGAATTTCATCCCCGTCCCTAATTATCGTACGGCACGACATTCCACGTGTAGGAAGCGCGCGCTGTTTTCGACCTTCGTTATTCACACCCGTTTTCGAAAGTAAACCGCGAACCGGCGTTTTTCCCGCTTCACGTACAACTTTCGGTTTTTCACACCGACCGCGTTTCAGGTTCACGCTATCGGGAACATTATTAACTACCCCGGAAATACGCTTATTATAACAGAAGTATCGCGCGTTATCGATATTGTAAATGTGCGGTAAGCAATCGGAGAGCCGCAGAATACGGTCCTATTAAGCCTATCAAGAGCCAATCTCTCGGTTCGTATAATATTATACCACAACAGATCAGGAAAGAATCGAAAATTAGATGGAAAGAAGCAGCTATAGATCGGGACGGGTGGCGATATTTGTGTTTAGCAGTATGGTCTTAAAGGCCGAAACTAAGAAAGAAGAAGAAAAAGAAGAAGAAGAAATACTCGTATCGTCTATGGTTCTATAACCATCTTGTTTTCGGTCTTTCAACGTTCCTCGTCTTCCGTGTGATTTATCCATTTTTAAAACTATGCTCTTACACACCCCTGACTCGCATCTCTTTTCATCGTTTATTCGAATCACCCGGGTCAACTATAGAAACTACCCTTATGTTTCTTATTCTATTTTCACTATCGCACATACGTGGACTTCAATCGTCCGTCGCTAAGCCGAAAATCGTCGTTTACGCAAAAGTTTCAATTATAAACTGTGTAGGGCCCGGCCGTATCGATGCCGACTGACAAACTGATTTTCAAGTCGTGATACGTTTCAAATTTTTGGTTACACGCTGCAGTTATTTACACGACGAAGAACAGTCGAATATAGCGATAAAACGTATGAAGACAAATATATAATATGCATTTGTTTTGTATCGTATGTATACAATTTAAATGCTATGTGTCTGTACTTGTACATACAAATCTACAGTTTTATTCCGATCGTTGTGAAACTTTGCACACTAGATATTCAAAACAATTAGGATAATCGCCGTCTACTTTTCAATCCGAAATTAAACCTCTAAAGTGTGGCTAACACAAGGTTTTTGGTATCTTTGGAACGGAGATGGAATTTTTTTATTTTTGTTGATTTACGCGTTACCCCGACAACACGGATAAATAAAATGCTATTACCTATTTATTTAATTTGGCTGTCACAAATAAGAAAATACGGCCTTATTGAATAGATAAATTATCTGACAACGATTAATAAGGATAGGAAATAAAAGTGAAAACGGGGAGACGCGGTAAAATTAATTTGTTTTATTAATTTTCGTTTTCTGATTTCCGGGGAATCCAGCTAGTACGTTATAATAGATTTTGATAAAGTCTATAACGCCTCAAGGTGATTTATACAAATCATCCTAATTCCAAAGACAATAATTTAAAAACGCATTGTATAACAATTATTGTATGTACACAACTCATTAATGTAGTGAAAATTGTATAGTTTAGTAGTAAATGTATAATTGAATAATACTTCGACAACGATCGCGAGTGTTTAAACGGAATAAAGAGACTTTTAGAGAGATTTTAATGTTTAAATAAATAGTAAACAATTTTAGTATTACGGAAACGCCCAAAAACGTACACCAAATTATAGCAGTCTTACATTGGCGAAACTAACGTGGATTTCGAGAAAAGGCGAATTCTCGATTTTGTTTTTTTTTAGATTTAGAGGTGGGTAAATGCTCACCACTACGATAACTAAATAAATAATCGAACTAGTTTACTGAAAATTTGGGAAAATATCCGCGGGCTAGATACTATAAATAGATTATGCGTAGATTCTGGGTTATTTTAGGTTTCTTTCGTCACCGAACGTATGAAGGTAGGTTAAGCTATTTTATTTCATATCCGTATTCTCTGTAATCTCGTAACTCGAAATAGATGGTCCGCTCGAATTTACGGAAAAAAAAAAAAAAAAAAAAAAAAACCATATCTATACACGGTATAAGAAAATAATGATAAAACGAAAGAATTACACGGACCGTTGACACGGAAATAATGAAAAAATAATAACAATAATAGCCCACCAAATTTACAAATACATCCAATATTTGTATGTATACCTGTATACATGATATTATATCATAACGAAAACTTATTAAAAAAAAAAAAACCGCGTATTTATTTGTTTGCTTTCTATGTTACAGGTACAACAGATACGTGCGGACGACCGACAAAGAGTTTAACGGGAAATCGTTTGTTTCTTTTTGTTTTTGCGGCACCGATATTGAAAAATCTATTATTTTTTTGTTTTTTTTTTTTTTTTGTTTGTATGAAATAAACGTCGTTTACTCCGCAGGGATTTTTATTTATTTATTTATTTTTTTTCTTGTTACACACACGGTCCTAACATAATAATCGTGTATTGTATGCTGTACGGGGTGACAGCATAGGTTTACCTATTACATTAACAATTATAGTAATATAGTATGTGTATATGTATATATACCGAGTCTTATCGAAATGTACACGAGGGGACGGAGACGTCCGCAATACCGATAATAACAGAGAACGGGACGTAACGGTAATGATAATAATTGTAATAGTAATAATAATAATAACAATAGTAATAGTAGTGTAATGTACAATAAAATATTAGCCATTCTTACCCGCGGTGGGCCGCCGACGAGGTTGTTGAACGGTGAGTTTCTTGAGCCGATGTGACGACGACGACGACCACCGGTCTCCTCGTGGCGCACGCCGACCCCGTCAAAAGCGGCCGCGGGGCGACGCGGGGTCACGCGTGCGCGACGGAGTCCCACCAGGGCGGCGGTGGCTCGGCCGGCGGTGTCGTCGCAGGGGGAGCGAAAACGCACAGTCACCATTATGTATGAGCGCCGCCGCCGCGTCCGTGTATGCTATCGCGGGGGTGGCGGCGGCGGCGGAGTGTGTATATTATTATTATTATTATTATTATTATATAGTGTATATAGGAAATCGACAATCCGAGTGAAACGAAGGTTCCTTCCTCGTCCTTTTTTTTTTTTTTTTTCCTTTTACATTTTCTGTTCCGATATATAACACACACACGCACACACGCCCGCACACTTATTTTATTATACAGGGTGATTCTTTTATCGTAATATTATGCTATCCGACGATTCTTCTGCCCCGACGCTCCCACCTCCCCCCTCCCTTCTCCTTATATCGTCGCCGTTCAAAAGAGCGTATTATATTAAATTTCGATTTTCGAAACGGCAACCCCGAACTCCGACCACGCTACAAAAAGAATTCCAAAAACTTTGTCCGTTTATCGAGTTATATAACAACTATTATACTGTCAACGAGTTTCAAGTGTAAAACGTACGTATACTGTTGTTTCATATTCATTTTTAGGCGATTGCACTTCCTCTATCTAAATTTCCTTCTGCTCAAATCTTAAAATTTTATCACTGATCGTACAAACATGTATGGTGAATCTGGTATTAGTAATATTACATAATATAATAGTGTTACGCGCGTCAACATGTTTAGGAAAATAATCTCTTCTCGAATCTGGAAAATGGACGGAGACAGACTGGTCCGGGGGTCGCTAATTCAAAATCAAAATTTGACACACGTTATTTACGGTGTACGGAATAAGTGTGACGTTTCGAAAATATTGCATCCACGGTCCCTTTTCGAACGACACTGCTGAACAGCTGAAAAAAACTAAAATCGATTTTATTCGAAAATGTCGTAGATTTTCGCTGGATTTTCGCGATAAAAAAGAGAAAAAGATTACCCTGTACAACGGATGAAAAACTCGTATAGTTCGGGTTCTACATTATGTATAAGCAGAATATATGCACCCGCGCACACATACTCGTCGCTCGCGGGAGTGGAGGTAAGTAGTTATGTGCTGAATTGGGGAAAAAGAAAAATGAAAAGTATTATTATATACACCTAGTGTAGATATACGAGTATACGTATATAAATATTCTATATGTACGAATATTTGGTTTGGGGCGACGGGAAATGTGATTGAAAACGATATTTTGATTGGACGCATTTTTGATAGATAGGTAATAGCTGCCTACAGTATGCCTATATATACTCGTATATATTATTATAATATTGTGTGTAATATGACGTACGTATATACTATATAGGTAGTATACACTCGACTATACTCTGTATAAAATATTATACGGTAAAATATATTTTCAAAATGGTTTACGAGAAAAAAAAAATGTTTTATATTATATAAACACGATGCGATACGACGCGACGGTTATATCGAAGTGATTCGGAATTTTCATTAGGTATGCAAAAAAATATCACCAGTGAGCAACTGCAGAACTCCGCATCAGAGATGAATTTTCCCTTATATCCGACTTGCCGACGTGACAGTAATTTTTTAAATCTTATAATCGATCTAAAATTAGTATAACTACGATTTATGGCCAGAATTTCATTTCACTTTATAGTGTGTAGAAGAATTTATAATCTACTATTTTCTGTGAAAACATGAAATTCGATCGTAATAATGTTTGGAGTGGGGGTTTAAAAATGATACTCCCAAAAGTTATACTCCTGATACTTACTAAGTATCAGTGTAATTCATATTGAAATTCAATCAAAATCTGTATTATTTCAAACCGCCTATAAAAAAAACTCTTATTCCGAGTTAGAGCTCATTTGGCCCGCTAAAGTGCCCAAAAGTAGCGGGAAAAAAATTATATAATTTATACATGATGAGACTTCAATACATTGCAATATAGTCTTTATTTTCATAGGAATTTCGACAAAAACGAAATGATTCACTATGAAAATATAATTTAAGTAAGAACAGAAAAATTAACGATAAATGAAAAACCATGAAGAAAAACCGGGAGTGTTAGAATTATTGGCCATCAAGTAGATACGTAATAGAACTGCAATAAAGACGGAAAATAAAACGTGACTGAATATTATATAAAAACAAAATGAGGAATATTATTACATCGTAGAAGACATTACCATTTATACATAGACAGTGAACTTATTTTAATATAGAAGAGATTACAAAGAAAGAAATGGACCAAAGGACATAAAGATTTAGGGACATTGTTCTCCTTTAGATACCCATTTAAAATATATTGGTGTAGAATATTATTTTTAAAATCGTTCCGCATACATTTCAAGATGATTTTTTTAAAAATATTTTACCTTTATTTCATTGTAAATAATATGGAGTTCTTTCGGTACAAAATTAATGTAACATTATCTAAAAAATGCATTTGGTTCTAAATTGTACTTTTTTATTTTTTTGGTTATATTAGTTAACGTGTCAAAACAACTTTCATGACTTAAGCAAACTCGTGCAATCCTATCATAATAGATGATTTAAGGGCTTTGAAAAATTAAGTACGATAATAATTTATCGATATCCTGTTCTCCGGATCCGTAGCAAACATATTATATTGTTTATGACATTCATTAAAAAATACAAAATAAGCACAACATTTAATTTTAGATTCTGAGTGGAGCGAAAAAGCTTATAGTTTTACATAGATAACTAGAAATGTTGGTCAGATTTTTAAGTGTAGCACTTTTTCTGAAAGGAAATTGGTGTGGAGAGGTACTTTAAGGAGGTCGTTTTTCGATTTTCGCAAGAGTTTTCTCATCAAATATAAAATACTAAAAAGAAACTTAGAAAAAACGGGAAAATCGGCACAATATTATTTAACTCAGAACCGTTGTTTTATTTTTTTGTTGGCAATAATTTATCGTTGCATAAAGTTTATAAATCGAATTTCCTTGTGCATCCTACAACAATGACCTATACCCGCGAGAGCAGTATCAACTTTTTACTGCCTACCCATATTATTGTTACGTTATTGAGTTGTTGTAACACGAAAATTACTGCGGACAAATATTCTAAAACAACGTTATACGTGTATGCTACACCACGCAGTAGGTATTTACATAAATGCGCGTATACACACGATCCAGCTGCAGCGTTGTACTACACAGACCTTTGTATATAATATTATGTTTAATGTATACGAGAAACAAAAAATAATATGTAATATCTGTGCTATGCAAAAAAAAAAAAAACAAAAAAACAAAAACGTGCTCCGTTAATAGTTAATAAACATCAATATTTAATTTGTATCGACTTTGAGATATTATATAATGTAAACCGCGAGGAAAGGAGAAATAAATAAGTAATAATATGTGTGTACGAGGTAAGCGTACGGCGGCTGTGTGATACGCACGCACGCAATAACATTATATACGCGTCAAGAAAAATATTTGAAAATCTCGCACACCGCAGCTATACCGCACTATGTAAGTACTTTTTCCGCGAAAACATTTTCATAAAACGAGTATAATAATATTTACACGAAATAAAATCATTACCTCGGGGATGCCGATAAAGATAAGCCCGCGGCGATGATTATAGACCGCCGAGATAATATTTTACCCTCTCGGTGAAACGTCGGGGTTCGGGAGGTTGCGATAAACAACCATTACATGGAAAATTTTTATCCCCGCTCTCCCGGTTAAATATCACGAGGGGTCGGTTTTACAATCGGTTTAAAAAATTACACGGCAAATTCATAATTATATTCACCGAGTGCAAACATTTCGGTTATAATTAGAGGACTCGAATCAATACGTGAACACGGACTGCACGTGCGCGCGGATGAAAAATGTGTACTCACTACTCAGGTCGTACACTTAACCCCCGTGAATTAACTATCCGTGTTCTCGTATATTATAGTGTTATTATATACGTGTATAATTACACGTGTACGCGGTTTTATAGATACCAGTGTTAATTTCGTGTAAAGTAGGGAGCTCTAGTAATAATGTCGAAAGCCTTCATCATATAATATATTAGAGGAAAAATACCAAAATTGAGTTTTCTGGGAAATTATCCGATTCGTCACGAAAGATTTCTTGGAAAAGCCTTCGGTGGAGACTGAAGGTTGATGAACTTTGGCCGGCTACCGACGAGATAGAGAGGCGAGCGTTGGGTGGATTCACCGTGTTTCGGCTTTTCGAAATACCTACCTAGTATAGTATGATATTATGAATTTGTGTTTTGTTGTTTTGGTTTTCGGAATATAATATTAAACGATCGCAAAAAAAAAAAAAAAAAAAACAGTTCATAAAAGAAAATTTAGATATAGAAAATGGCTTCTCGGAATAGTGGTCATCGACAGTGCAACAAGGTGTAGGTGTGAGTTTACTCCCCATCCGATGAACCGCGGCGATTTGTGCGAAAAAATTACAGGGCCTATCAGACCTGCCCGCTGGCTACGCTACTGCGGTTAAACAATCCTTTAAAACGAATTGACGGGTGCAGCCACTTTTATAGGTAATTTAA